CACGCCTGCCCTGCCCTCCCTGCTTGGAGTCTCAGAAACAGCCCTCCCCTTGATGTGACCTTGGTTTTGGCTTTCAGTCTGCTGAGATTAAATCGCTTGCCATCTGTCCGATAAATGATTTCCACTCCGGTGGGAAGCTTCCCATCATAGCGATGAAGATGGAAATCTTATGGCAGAAGCTGGATGACCATCTGTTGGGAGGGTTTTGATTGTGTCTTCCTGCACAGAAAAATGAGGCTGGGCTGGATGGCCCTGGGGTTTCTTTCAAATCTATAATTCTATGATTTCCTGAAAATCGCAAAGTAAAATACTGGCATTGAAGCCCTCAGCGCTTAAAGGAAGTGCTTTCACATCTTATGTTCTGGGATGGAGATCAGGGTGGATTATTCTGCAGATGGGGATTCCACCCAAGTCAGCTGTTTTTCCTCCTGACTGCCCCTGACAGCTACAAAACAGGAGCTTTTTTGTTGAGTGCCAGGGCCAGAGAAGCAGATGGCGCAAACAGAAGGACGGCCTGCCTCAGGGGAGCGTGCTTGCCCCATCCATGTTCAACATCGACACAAATGACCAGCCACTGCCAGAAGGGACAGAGAGCTTCATCTATGCTGATGATCGTGCCATCACCGCTCAAGCAGGGAGCTTTGAGGTGGTTGAAAAGAAGCTCTCCGAAGCTCTAGGTGCCCTTACTGCCTACTACAGAGAAAACCAGCTGATCCCCAATCCATCTAAAACACAGATATGTGCCTTTCATCTCAAGAACAGAGAAGCATCCCGAGCTCTGAGGATTATTACCTGGGAAGGAATCCCACTGGAGCATTGCAGCGCACACAAATACCTGGGAGGAGTCACTCTGGACCGTGCTCTGACCTACAAGAAGCACTGCCTGAACATCAAGCAAAAAGTGGGCGCTAGAAACAATATCATACGAAAGCTGACTGGCACAACCTGGGGATCACAACCAGACACAGTGAAGACATCTGCCCTTGCGCTATGCTACTCTGCTGCTGAGTATGCATGCCCAGTGTGGAACACATCTCACCACACTAAAACAGTGGATGTGGCTCTTAATGAGACATGCCGCATTATCACGGGGTGTCTGCGCCCTATACCACTGGAGAAATTACACTGCTTAGCCGGTATTGCACCACCTGACATCCGCCGGGAAGTAGCAACCAATAGTGAAAGGACCAAGGCATTGACATCTCCGGCCCACCCCCTGTTTGAGTATCAGCCAGCACGCCAACAAGTTAAATCAAGAAATAGTTTTCTAAGATCTACAGAGACACTCGCTGGAACACCTCAGCAAGCAAGAGTCCAAAAGTGGTAGGCTCAAACCCAGAACCTCAATCAATGGCTGATACCAAATGAGAGACTCCCCCTGGGCACACAGAAGACTGGGCGACTTGGAAGGCGCTGAACAGACTGCGCTCTGGCACCACGAGATGCAGAGCCAACCTTCAGAAAGTGGAATCCTCGACATGCGAGTGTGGAGAAGAACAAACCACTGACCACCTGCTGCAATGCAACCTGAGCCCTGCCACATGCACCATGGAGGACCTCCTTGCGGCAACACCAGAGGCACTCCAAGGGGACAGAGACTGGTCAAAGGACATATAACCAACTACCAAGTTTGCAAAATCTGTGTTTTTTTGGTTTTTTTTTAATCTGTGTGCTTGTTTTGTTCTGTTAGAAATGTAATGCAATGGTATGGTTGCTGAAGATACGATTTAAAAAAGCTGTTTTTCCTCCTGACTGCCCCTGACAGCAGTCCCTTCCCTGCTCTCCGGCCTGTTTGTCCCCCCAAGTCCTTGTGTGCGCCCTTTGGCACCAGCGCATTCACGGCCTCATGAATGAGGCAGCTGCTTGCTTTCTCTCCCATGCGCTGCAGCCCTTGCTTGGGCACACGCAGGAGCACATTCAGCCATCCTTTCTGTGCCCGGTTGCGCCTGGACTCAGAAAGACCCACTGCGGTGCTATTCAAGCGCCAGACGAGGAGCGAAGAGACCCTGCCTGGCAGCCCGGGCACGGGAACCCCTTCCTGCGGCTTCGAAGAAAAGAGACAAAGAATAGAAGGAAGACTAGAAGTTTCTTGACATTGGCAGGATATACATTTACGTGTGCGCAGAGGCGGCCCTAGGTAATTTTCAATGGTAAGCAAACACTATCTTGCTCCCCCCCCCCCCCCCCAACCAATCACTGATATATATTTTCTGTTCGTGGTGGGAGTTCTGTGTGCCTACTCCACTTTGGCAGGAAAAACGAAATGCAAAGAGCAGAATGGGGGATGCCTGGCTTGAGAGCAGTACGTGTGAAAAAGATCTTGGAGTCCTCGCAAGGAGAAAGGTGAACATGAGCCAGGAATGTGATGTGGCAGCAAAAAAAGCCAATGGGATTTTGGCCTGCATTAATAGGAGCCTAGTGTCTAGATCTGGGAAAGTCCTGCTCCCCATGCTCTATTCCGCCTTGGTGAGACCACACCTGGAATATTGTGTCCAATTCTGGGCACCACAATTCAAGAGAGATATTGGCAAGCTGGCATGTGTCCAGAGGAGAGCGACTAAAATGATCAGGGGTCTGGAGAACAAGCCCTATGAGGAGCGGCTTAAGGAGCTGGGCATGTTTAGCCTGAAGAAGAGAAGGCTGAGAGGAGATATGATAGCCATGTATAAATATGTGAGAGGAAGCCACAGGGAGGAAGGAGCAAGCTTGTTTTCTGCTTCCCTGGAGACTAGGACGCAATGGAACAATGGCTTCAAACTACAAGAGAGGAGATTCCATCTGAACATGAGGAAGAACTCCCTGACTGTGAGAGCCGTTCAGCAGTGGAACTCTCTGCCCCGGAGTGTGGTGGAGGCTCCTTCTTTGGAAGCTTTTAAACAGAGGCTGGATGGCCATCTGTCAGGGGTGATTTGAATGCAATATTCCTGCTTCTTGGCAGAATGGGGTTGGACTGGATGATGGCCCAGGAGGTCTCTTCCAACTCTTGGGATTCTAGGATTCTATGAGTCTATGATTTGGTTCAATTCCATCATTGGTGGAGTTCAGAATGCTCTTTGATTGTAGGTGATCTATACATCCCAGTAACTACAACTCGCATATGTCAAGGTCTATTCCCCCCCCAAGAGCGCCTCAAGAGCGCCCCTGGGCAAAATCAACTCTGCCGCAAAGGTTTACTTTGCATAACGAGTGAGCCGCCCCTGCGTGTGCGTGTTTGGTATTTCCCCTGACTCGTCAGACCTCTCAACGATTACCGTGTCCAGTTTGGGTCAGAAACCATTCAAGGCAGATATGGACAAACTGGAAGATGTCCAAAGAAGGGTGACCCAAGTGGTTGCAAGTCAAGTAATATGAGGAGCTGGGTATGTTTAGCATTGAAAAAATTAAGAGCTTAATAATATTTGAAAGGATGTCCTATTGAAATAGAGCCAGCTTGTTTCCTGATGCTCTAGACCAGTGGTTGTCAACCTTCCCGATGTCGCAACCACAGGGGCAGTCAGGATGTAGGTGAACTACAACTCCCAAACTCAAGGTCAATGCCCACCAAACCCTTCCAGTATTTTCCGTTGGTCATAAAAGTTCTGTGTACCAAGCTTGGATCAATTCCATCATTGGTGAAGTTCAGGATGCTCTTTGATTGTAGGTGAACTATAAATCCCAACACTACAACTCCCAAATGTCAAGATCTATTTCCCCCAAACTCCACCAGTGTTCACACTTGGGCATATTGAGTATTTGTGCCGAGTTTGGTCCAGATCTATGATTGTTTGAGTCCATGGCACTCTGTGGATGTAGGTGAACTACAACTCCAAAACTCAAGGTCAATGCCCACCAAACCCTTCCAGTATTTTCCGTTGGTCATAAAAGTTCTGTGTACCAAGCTTGGATCAATTCCATCATTGGTGAAGTTCAGGATGCTCTTTGATTGTAGGTGAACTATAAATCCCAACACTACAACTCCCAAATGTCAAGATCTATTTCCCCCAAACTCCACCAGTGTTCACACTTGGGCATATTGAGTATTTGTGCCGAGTTTGGTCCAGATCTATGATTGTTTGAGTCCATGGCACTCTGTGGATGTAGGTGAACTACAACTCCAAAACTCAAGGTCAATGCCCACCAAACCCTTCCAGTATTTTCCGTTGGTCATAAAAGTTCTGTGTACCAAGCTTGGATCAATTCCATCATTGGTGAAGTTCAGGATGCTCTTTGATTGTAGGTGAACTATAAATCCCAACACTACAACTCCCAAATGTCAAGATCTATTTCCCCCAAACTCCACCAGTGTTCACACTTGGGCATATTGAGTATTTGTGCCAAGTTTGGTCCAGATCCATCATTGTTTGAGTCCAGTGCTCTGTGGATGTAGGTGAACTACAACTCCAAAACTCAAGGTCAATGCCCACCAAACCCTTCCAGTATTTTCCGTTGGTCATAAAAGTTCTGTGTACCAAGCTTGGATCAATTCCATCATTGGTGAAGTTCAGGATGCTCTTTGATTGTAGGTGAACTATAAATCCCAACACTACAACTCCCAAATGTCAAGGACTGTTTCCCCCAAACTCCACCAGTGTTCACATTTGGGCATATTGAGTATTTGTGCCGAGTTTGGTTCCAGATCCATACTTGTTTGAGTCCACAGTGCTCTCTGGATGTAGGTGAACTACAACTCCAAACTCAAGGTCAATGCCCACCAAACCATTCTAGTGTTTTCTGTTGGTCGTGGGAGTTCTGTGTGCCATGTTTGGTTCAATTCCATCATTGGAGGAGTTCAGAATGCTCTTTGATTGTTGGTGAACTACAAATCCCAGCAACTACAACTCCCAAATCAATTTTTTGGGGTAACGGTCACTCCTTGGGTTAGTAGGTGTCTTGTGGCCAAATTGGGCAGCAATTCGTCCAGTGCTTTTTGAGTTATGTTAATCCCACAAACGAACATTAAGAAAAGGGAGGTCCACTCATGCATGCAAGGGAGTAAGTGATGAAAGTTTAGGGAGTCTCACTTGGAGAAGGTGTTCCTGGCGTAGTGCATGATGCTGTCGAAATCGTAGATCTCGGCCAAAGAGTCCACATCTTCACGCTCCATCTTCAGGAAGTTGTACTCCTGTCCTGTGGAAACAACCAGAGGAGAAGGATGAGAAGTGCAAGACCAGGCTGAGCTGAACGGACGGTCAGTACCTGCCCAAGCGCATGGCCTAAACTGCCATGTTTCCCTCTCCTGCAATACGGCGAGTCAGCTGCAACCATTTCTGTTTCCTCTGAGAAGACAAAAGGCGCATTCTCTCCCACACAAAACACTGAACAGGACAATGCCTTGGTCTGAATGGATGCAGACTCAGCTGGAGGTTTACTATTTCTAGCTTAGGCAGCATGGCTCAAGAGCCAAACGGAGGACATATCTGTGTCTCCTGAGCAGAACTGTGGGTTGCGGTGAGTATTCCGGGCTGTCTGGCCATGTTCCAGAAGCATTCTCTCCTGACGTTTTGCCCACATGTATGGCAGGCACCCTCAGAGGTTGAGAGGTCCAGGGTGAGAGAAAGACTCCTGTCTGGGTTGCTGTGAGTTTTCCGGGCTGTCTGGCCATGTTCCAGAAGCATTCTCTCCTGACGTTTTGCCCACATGTACGGCAGGCATCCTCAGAGGTTGTGAGGTCTGTTAGAAACTAGGCAAGTGGGCTTTACATATCTGTGGAATGATGTCCAGGGTGAGAGAAAGACTCCTGTCTGGGTTGCTGTGAGTTTTCCGGGCTGTCTGGCCATGTTCCAGAAGCATTCTCTCCTGACGTTTTGCCCACATGTACGGCAGGCATCCTCAGAGGTTGTGAGGTCTGTTAGAAACTAGGCAAGTGGGCTTTACATATCTGTGGAATGATGTCCAGGGTGAGAGAAAGACTCCTGTCTGGGTTGCTGTGAGTTTTCCGGGCTGTCTGGCCATGTTCCAGAAGCATTCTCTCCTGACGTTTTGCCCACATGTACGGCAGGCATCCTCAGAGGTTGTGAGGTCTGTTAGAAACTAGGCAAGTGGGCTTTACATATCTGTGGAATGATGTCCAGGGTGAGAGAAAGACTCCTGTCTGGGTTGCTGTGAGTTTTCCGGGCTGTCTGGCCATGTTCCAGAAGCATTCTCTCCTGACGTTTTGCCCACATGTATGGCAGGCATCCTCAGAGGTTGAGAGGTCTGTTAGAAATTTGTGGGTTGCTGTGAGTTTTCCGGGCTGTCTGGCCATGTTCCAGAAGCATTCTCTCCTGACGTTTTGCCCACATGTACGGCAGGCATCCTCAGAGGTTGAGAGGTCTGTTAGAAACTAGGCAAGTGGGCTTTACATATCTGTGGAATGATGTCCAGGGTGAGAGAAAGACTCCTGTCTGGGTTGCTGTGAGTTTTCCGGGCTGTCTGGCCATGTTCCAGAAGCATTCTCTCCTGACGTTTTGCCCACATGTATGGCAGGCATCCTCAGAGGTTGTGAGGTCTGTTAGAAACTAGGCAAGTGGGCTTTACATATCTGTGGAATGATGTCCAGGGTGAGAGAAAGACTCCTGTCTGGGTTGCTGTGAGTTTTCCGGGCTGTCTGGCCATGTTCCAGAAGCATTCTCTCCTGACGTTTTGCCCACATGTACGGCAGGCATCCTCAGAGGTTGTGAGGTCTGTTGGAAACTAGGCAAGTGGGCTTTACATATCTGTGGAATGATGTCCAGGGTGAGAGAAAGACTCCTGTCCAATGATCCCCCAGGCGGGAATCAGACAGTCTTTGAAGCTGCAAGGCCATTCAATGCTAATCAAGGTGGCCAATTGCAACATTCACACTTGCCTCAACAGACAAGAGTTCTTTCTCCCACCCTGGACATTCCACAGATATATAAACCTCACTTGCCTCACAACTCACAACCTCTGAGGATGCCTGCCACAGATGTGGGCGAAATGTCAGGAGAGAATGCTTCTGGAACATAGCCATACAGCTCGGAAAACTCACAGCAACCCAGTGATTCCAGCCATGAAAGCCTTTGATAATACATCCAACAGAACGGCTTTCTTGGAAGTGGATGAGGGGGGAAAGGAAAGGGCCTGAGGCTGTTAGGAATTGTGCGAGTTGAAGTCCAAAACACCTGGAGGGCTCAAGTTTGCTCATGCCTAATATACGTGCAAAAGCTTTAAGCTCTAATGAACACACATAGCTGTGTCAAATGGAAATGAAAGGTTTTAGTGAACCACCACGTTTTCATTTGTTGCCAGAATGCCAGCAACATTGATACCAACCAGACCTCCCAATAAAAATGGGAAATAAATGGGATGCAGGTAAATACAGGGTTAGTCAAAATGAATAGGCCAATAAGAAAATTAATTTTAGACGAATGTATGTTTACTGTAACCAAACCACAGCTACGTAGCGACAGATAAACTATCAAAGTTTTTTTTGAGCAACACACATGTACGTTAATGCCGCTAGGCGTCGCTAGGGGTCGCTGTTTTCAAAATGGCGGATTCAAGCAAAGAGAAGGCGTTTTGTGTGATGACATTTGCTAAAACAATGTCAGTAATTACGGTCCAGCGAGAATTTCGAGCCAAGTATGGCAAGGAACCACCTCATCGACATTCCATTGCGAGGTGGGTAAAGCAATTTGAGGAGACGGGCTGCTTATGCAAGGGTAAAACCACAGGACGACCACGTGTCTCCGAAGACACAGCTGCATTCGAGGCCATTACGTCGGATGTGCTGCAACGGATGTGGAATGAACTGGACTATCGCTTGGACATCTGCCGTGTCACACGGGGCGCCCATATCGAACATCTCTGAAGGTGAGACAAAACTTTGATAGTTTATCTGTCGCTACGTAGCTGTAGTTTGGTTACAATAAACATACATTCGTCTAAAATTAATTTTCCTATTGGCCTATTCATTTTGACTAACCCTGTATATGGCATAACTGTGAATTTAGGAGGGGAACACAGACGTTCCCACCCTTCTGGTGCCGGGCATGTGACGCTTGCTCTCTTAGGATACCCAGGAGGGGGATGAAGGGGAAGGAGGCAGGTAGAAGACGGAGCCTTTACCTGGTTGGATGTTTTCCCGGTAAATGGAGACATGGTCGTCTCGGTCGGGGCGGGTGTGCTCGTGCCAGAAGCCAATGACGTGGCCCAGTTCGTGGACCACAATCCCAAATTTGTCACAGTTTTTCCCAACGGAGATGGCCTGAGGACCTCCGCCTCTGCGCCCCACGTAGGAACAGCACCTGGAGGGAGAATTAAACCCACTGCATCACTTCTGGTTTTATTTTATTTTATTTAAGTCGACATACATTTGCAAGTGTTTGGAGTAATTATACATCTTAGCGCAGTGTTTCTCAACCTTCCTAACGCTGCGACCCCTTAATACAATTCCTCATGTTGTGATGACCCCCAACACTAAAATTATTTTCATTGCTACTTCATAACTGAATTTTGCTACTGTTACGAATCGTCATGTAAATATCTGATAGGCAGGATGTATTTTCATTCTCTGGATCTTGGGAGTTGTAGTTGCTGGGATTTATAGTTCACCTACAATCAAAGAGCATTCTGAACTCCACCAGAGATGGAATTGACCCAAACTTGGCACACAGAATGCCCATGACCAGCAAAAAATAATGAAAGGGTTAGGTGAGCATTGGCCTTGAGTTTGGGAGTTGTAGTTCACCTATCTCCAGAAAGCACTGTGGACTCAAACAATGATAGATCTGGACTAAACTTGGCACGAATACTCAATATGCCCAAATGTGAACACTGTTGGGAGTTTGGGGAAAATAGACCTTGTCATTTGGGAGTTGTAGTTGCTGGGATTTATAGTTCACCTACAATCAGAGAGCATTCTGAACCCCACCAACGATAGAATTGGGCCAGACTTCCCACACAGAACTCCCATGACCAGCAGAAAATACTGTGTATCCTGATGGTCTTTGGCGACCCCTCCGACACCCCTTCGCGACCCCCCCCCCAGGGGTCCCGACCCCCAGGTTGAGAAACACTGTCTTAGCGAGTCTCTTATCATTTCTGTTTACAGTTTGTGGGGATACAGTTACTCCAAATTATTTTTTGCTGTTGAAGTCAGATTGAATAGTGTTGTTTCCACACAGGGGAATAGTGTTGTAGTCCAGCCTTTGATTGTGCCCGCACCTGATCTTTCTGGGGATTCTGGGTCTGTAAGTAAGTCTGATAACACTAGGGATTCTGGGTCTGCAAGAAGGGATTTTAAGCCCTGAAAATGAGTGGTCTGTGTCTGAAGGCCACATTCCAGAAAGGCAGTTCACTAGCAGAACTGAGCTCAGAAGATGAAAATGAAAGTCCGGGTGGATAGAACTAATGAGCAGTTAGATAGGAGATTTATGTTCTGTCAACATAGAGCAGTGTTTCTCAACCTGGGGGTTGGGACCCCTGTGGGGGTCGCAAGGGGGTGTCAGAGGGGTCGCCAAAGACCATCAGAAAACATAGTATTTTCTGTTGGTCATGTGGGTTCTGTGTGGGAAGTTTGGTCCAATTCTATCATTGGTGGGGTTCAGAATGCTATTTCATTGTGGGTGAACTATAAATCCCAACAACTACAACTCCCAAATGGCAAGGTCTATTTTTCCAAACTCTACCAATGTTCACATTTGGGCATATGGAGTATTTGTGCCAGGTTTAATCCAGATCCATGATTGTTTGAGTACACAGTGTTCTCTGGATGTAGGCGAACTACAACTCCAAAAACCCAAGGTCAATGTCCACCAGACCTTCCCAGTATTTTCTCTTGGTCATGGGAATTCCGTGTGCCAAGTTTGATTCAATTTCATCATTGGTTGAGTTCAGAAGACTCTTTGATTTTAGGTGAACTATAAATCCCAGCAACTCCAGCATTACCAATGACAAAATCAACCCCGCCCACCCAACCCCACCAGTATTCAAATTTGGGCGTATTGGGTATTTGTGCCAAATTTAGTCCAGTGACTGAAAATGCATCCTGCATATCAGATATTTACATGATGATTCATAACAGGAGCAAAATTAGAGTTATGAAGTAGCAATGAAAATAACGTTACGGTTGGGGGTCACCACAACATGAGGACCTATACTAAGGGGTCGCAGCATTAGGAAGGTGGAGAACCACTGCCATAGAGCTTCTCGGGAGAGTTTACGAAGGCCAAGACGCCTATTAGCCAAGAAGTCCTTATCGGTTTCCCAGGGGAGAAGGCATAATTTTCTCTCTATATTAGCAAGACCAGCAGGCTTTTGTCGAAGCAACGTTTGACACCACTTTAACTGCAATGGAACCCTGGGAGTTGCAGTTTCCCAATGTCTTGAGCCTTCTCTGTCAAAGCATGCTGATGCCTCACCAAACTATCAGTCCCATGATTCCATAGTATTCCCACCTGCTACTAAGGAGGCTGTCCAAGTCCTGAACTGGTGCTTGGCCGCTGTGACGGACTGGATGAGGGACAACAGATTGAAACTGAATCCAGACAAGACAGAGGTCCTCCTGGTCAGTTGTAAGGCCGAACAGGGCATAGGGTTACAGCCTGTGCTGGACAGGGTCCCACTCCCCCTGAAGACGCAGGTTCGCAGCTTGGGAGTGATCCTGGACTCATCGCTGAGCCTGGAACCCCAGTTTCGGCGGTGGTCAGGGGAGCTTTTGCACAATTAAAACTTGTGCGCCAGCTGCGCCTGTACCTTGGGAAGTCTGACTTGGCCACGGTGGTCCACGCTCTGGTTGTATCCCGTTTAGATTACTGCAACGCTCTCTACGTGGGGTTGCCTCTGAAGACTGCCCGGAAGCTGCAGCTAGTCCAACGCGGCAGCCAGATTACTAACGGGTGCTGGGTACAGGGAGCACACCACTCCGCTGTTACACCAGCTCCACTGGCTGCCAGTTAGCTTCCGAGCACAATTCAAAGTGCTGGTGTTGACCTATAAAGCCCTAAACGACTCCGGCCCTGTTTACCTCTCCGAACGTATTCTCCCCTACGAACCATCAAGATTATTAAGATCATCTGGAGAGGCCCTGCTCTCGGTCCCACCGGCCTCGCAAGCGTGCCTGGTGGGGACGAGGGACAGGGCCTTCTCGGTGGTGGCCCCTCGACTCTGGAACTCTCTCCCACTGGAGATCAGAACCGCCCCGTCTATCCTGACATTCAGGAAACAGGTGAAGACGTGGTTATGGAGACAGGCATTCGACGAGTGAGCCAACACCCTGGATGGAAGATGATGTACAATCGATTTTAGTATGACGACTGACCATTGTAGTTATTGAATGTAATTGCTGTTTTAATGTTTTACTGTAATATGTATTATGATGTTTTATTGATTGTATGTGATATTATGGTTGGAAACCGGTCTGAGTCCCTCAAGAGAGGTGAGAAGGCCGGGATACAAAACTTTTAAATAAATAATAAATAATAGTAGAGATCCATGTCAGTTAAAGAGGAGTCAAACTGCATCAATTCTGAATCAAAACCCCAAATAAGCAAACCGAATCTCTGAATCAAAACCCCAAATAAGCAAACCGAATCTAAAGTTGGCCAAAAACCGATTCGTAAACATTTTGGCACTAATGTTGGAGAGTGGTCCCAGGTCAAAAAAAGGTTGGAAACCACTGGCATAGATGTATCCTTATCCTATGCAAATCGGACTGAATGCCAACAGTCAGCAGACAGTGGAGGGTGAGCAATTGACAGC